CTGCTGGGACAATTCTCTCAACACTCAACCACCCGACGTACGCACCGCATGGAACTGGGGCTTACATGTGACCAGTTCTTGTCACAGAATTTCGGTTTACAGTGTGAACAACACCCGGCCAAACACTCAAGCGCGTCTGCGAGAATTTTCGGAAAAGGGCATTCCATTTGCTCCGATCACTGTGCCTCTGGCTTTCCCGTCTCAGTCTTGGAATGAGTACGAGGAGTACTGGAAGCGGCATGATCCACGGGACGCTGAGGATTAATAGTTGATTGGAGAGTCAATCCAATTCTCTCTAAAGTCGGACATCATGCGGTGCAGAAGTTTGAAGTACATGTATGATTATGCGGATTTTGATCGTAAGAAGTATTCCAATGGCGAGTAGCTACCTATTGACAATAATGACAATGACGCCTGGGTGATCGCCACTCCAAGTCAGCCATGCGGTGTTTTCTGCTGGCGTCTCTCGCGGTTCTAGTAAACCATGTCATTACGTGCAAATCTCAATCCCCTCTACAGCCATCAGACACTGTCAACAAAAAATACAACTACTATGACACCCGAAATCGTAGACAAAGAAAACATTCATTTGCAAGCCATGGATACTCATAAAGCTATAGGAAATAGGTCATTGTTTATAGCTTTGTCGCATGGGGGCTGCCGAATCTTAGAACCATTTCCCCAGCATCAGGGTTTCCGACCGATACATAAGGTAAGTTGATGAATCGGAGCTGACGGAAGGCAAGGATATCCAGCAAGCATATCTTTGCGATCGTCTTTAGCTAAGTGGAGTAAAATTCCTTGGGCTGGGGCGAACGGAAGCTCATCTCGTATTCAACGGCGGCTGATCCACCAATATTTAAAAGCACTTTACATAGAAGTTAAATGGTGTCTTGGCTCACGCGGGCTGCTCCGCGATGGATGTCGATCTTGAGTAATTAAGAACGCACATTCCCATATTATAAGCATGGGAATTTCAAGTCGCTCTGATTCTTTACGTGATCTATTCATACTTGACGCCTCTATCACACAGCTCGGAATTTTACGAGATGAGAGCCATAAGCAGTTGGTGGTTTCGATGGGTTATTCTGCTCGCCACCACCACACTCGCCTCAAGTTTATCGATTAACCGAAGAGCCGACATCTCATCTTGCAAATTGCCAGCGACAAACGACGTCTTCTTCAGCTCTGGGTTTGGCTACAAGTACGATTGCGCTCCCAGCAAGGGCATCGTCAACGCGATCCTCATCTTTATCGACTTTCCGGACCAGACTGCCTCAGAAGCTTCTCCGCAAGAAGTCTACGACCTTCTGATACCTCAAGCCCAGCAATGGTTCAACACATCATCGTACGGCCAGCTGTCGCTGAACATCACCGCAGACACGAGCCGATTTTACCGCATGCCTAAGAACGCAGCCGAATACAACTTCGTCAGACCTTTATCGCAGCAAGCTCACTATGCCTACGTTCAAGACGCGCTGGAGCAGTGGCTAGCTGTCGCTAACACGCCGGTCCCCAAGGTCAATAGCACTGAGGGCCCTCTGACTGATATCTTCTACGTCATTCCGACCAGAAACGCGACAGGTATTGAGCTATCTGCAGCTCTCACTGGTGGCGCATATACCAAGAATGTGAACTACATTGCGAGAAAGGCTGTCACAATGGGCATTGACACGTTCGATTGGTGGGGTTACAAGGCGGTGAATCACGAGACGGGCCATACCTTCTGCTTGCCGGATCTATACCCTACACCGACGGGCTATACGGGTATATACGCCGGCAACTGGGATATGATGGCCAACGTGGGGGCTTCCAGCCCGGATTACTTCGCATGGAACAAGTGGAGGTTAGGCTGGCTTGCGGACGATCAAATCGAGTGCGTCGTTACCTCGGCGGCTCCCCCCAACGGCAGCAACATAGCTTCATCAACTACGCATAAGCTCACGCCACTCGAGACTATGGACGGCATCAAAGCCGTGGTCGTGAAGCACAATGCGACGATGGCGCTGGTGGCCGAGGTGAGGTCGAGGGAGGGCAACAACCTCAACTCATGTACGACTGGCGTCTTGCTCTATACTGTAGCGACGGATCTTAGTACTGGCGAGGGTCCGATCCGAGTCCTTGATGGGAATCCCGGCTGGGGAACGACTTCTTGCATCAACGATGAACTTGACAACGCGCCGTTGAGCTTGAATGGCGGGGGCGCAAGCGCATACACCTCGACAGATCTGGGTGTGACGGTGACGGTGATGGAGCAAGACGGCGATGATTACACAATCCGAATCGATGTATCATGAGAGATAATGATTGATAAGTCGAATGGACGCGTAGGATGCATGGGAATGTCGAGACTGAGAGCGCTGAAAAGTCGTGGTGTGTTGAGGTCTCCACTGCCAAGTGCTGTCAAACGTCAGAGGTCCAAATATGTAGGCCGAGAGAAGGAAGAAGAAACGCAGCAGACGTGACAGGTTAGCACCGGGGCATGTTTCGGCGATTCAGTGCATGTCATGGAAGCATGAACGGCAGTTCATCACACAATGTTGATAAGAAACGTTTCGTATGCTGCATATTGAGAGCATCCCAAACTTCAGGCGCATAAAATGGGATCAAGTTCATCTTTCGGGGAAGAAACAAAGTTGGGTTTCTCTTGGAGAGACTACCGATGAAGAGTTCGGCCGGTGCGTTCGGACTGAAGACGGAGCCAGAAACGAGTGGTTGCATGCCATTGCATGATAACAACTGATAAAGTTCATGATAAGTCGCCTCCGACACTGTTTGATCGTCGACGGTCATGAAGGAACAATAAATTATCATGACTGAAGTAAAGGGAACTGGCAGCAAGTATCAAAACATCAAGCAAGTTAGAGTCTATGTGTAAACAGCTTGCTCGCATCGAATCAGGCCTGAGAATGGAAAGACTCACATTTTGTCGTTGATAACGAGAGTAATTTGGTGATGGAATCGTCCGGTCGTCCGAAAGCTAGGCAACTTTGGAGAATCCATCCACCATGGCCATGGACGAGAGTCGAGTCATCTCACCTCAAAATCGGTCGAGGACTTCACGGCGCCGTAGGCCGAACTCCGAATGGCGAGGTAGATCATCCTACCCTACACAGGAGGGAACGATGTGAGATGATTGCTTGCCAATACGTAAATCATCCCCGCTTTTATGGACGCTCTATGCAATGATTTCCTGCCAACCAGACAAATGCGCGAGGGTGGCTAGGGCCGCATGGTGATGGTGTCTGAGATTTCGCCCCTTGGCACTGATGCGTCTGAAGTCTCTGATCGCCTGAAACAGAAGATCTCAAGGCAGGCAACGAGTCCAGGTCTCCACTTTCGGTACCGCAGAAGCGTTGACAGACGTTGGTCCCGCGACGGGGTAGACAGACTTCTGGCCAGATAGTGGGATGGTGTCATGCTCGCATTCCCACAGAAGACGAAGGGAGCTGGGCGACAGTGGTTTGGGGGTCCAATTGCATCCGTAAGGTTGTCGAGCATTTTGAGTTCCATTTGACAACTGGATCTGACGTGAAGTTTCCTGCAGGCACTGAGGGGCATGCCCGCTTGTCCACCACAATAAGCTTACCAACTGGCGGCAACTTTTCTCATTTTCAGAGGATGCAGAGATAGATGGCAATATCGTCCGGACTCGGATCATAGCTGGCCAGGAACGGCGGCCAGAATCTCCGTTGAGCAAGATCGGTTGAATCCCATCTGCTGTTCGGAGCGACATCCCGAATAGGGTGACCTTGTCCGCAGAAAGTGCATCTTCAGGGAGAAGAGGCACATCTGGAGTACATTTCGCCTACAGAATTACGCAGTAATCAAGCTTTCCAGACATCTGTAGCGCGGGTAGGCCCTGCGCTAAGCCCTAAGAGAATGCGAAAGTGACTCCTTACAAACCAGTTACCCGCCCGGCGAGCTTGCGATCCGGAGTCCACCGAGGTTTGCTATTGGCTTTGGAATGAGTTAAGCATTTGGTCGTGGGGAACTCGGCTTTGATAAGCGGCGGTGGTCCTCTTGAGACGCACGGGTGAAGACCCTCCCCCTTCTTCTCTCCCCTCCCACCCATGCCACCATCACAAAACGTTCCCACCCTTACCCCAGGCGAAACTCGCTCTATGACAACCTGCGGCTGATTCTGTCTGATCTTCCGCCTCATCTTTCCGTCCACATCGTTGTCGAGGCGTCTGAAGTCTGCGGCGCCTTACCGAATGCGCCGACCACCCGTCGCAAGACTTCCAAAAACTCAGCCGATATCGCGACCCGTGTTGCAATAATGAACGCAAATGCAGCCACGCCATAGCCGTTCGCTAGCTGGTCGCGCCCAATTCAGACCATGACGGCCTCGCGCCCCCACCAGACTTGCTTCATGAGTGGTTGACTTGGCGATGACATGGTCACCCGTCGCGTCTGTTCTTTGAACCCCCTGCACATGCCATACCATGATTTCGGGTCCGATAGATTCCCGTACCTGACAATCTTCTTAGTCGCCGTCTTAACCGATTCGGCTCGTCTCATGTTGTCTCGACTCTCGTCCCCCTCGGCCTCCATACCCCGGGGAGAGCGTCGTCTGTCTGAACTTTTGAAGTCTCATCGCAACGGTGTGCTAGCCAAAGCTGGCCGAGCATGAGGCTCTTGCTCTGGACCGTCTGAATTCCACTGATTCACCAAGGATCTGCTCTGATCATGTTTTCCATCCAATCTCTTCTTTATAAACCTGGCTGATCTCCCTCTCGGCACCAAATTTCTTCTTCTTGGCTATAGCTTCTCATCTTCATACGACATTCTCTTTGCACCGTTTCGTTTCATTCTTTTCAATTTCGAGTTCTGTGAGCTCTTCCATTCTTTGTATCGCCAGCAGATCTGACCTTGTTTCACTCTACTATCTTACAATCAACTCTTCGCTTCAAACCACGTCAGTCGACAGCACACAGAAGGCCGGTCTTTTCTGTCTTAATCACTCTCGACCGTCGATAATCCAAATCTCGATCAAGATGAAGTACCAGACTATCGCTTTCGCCACTTCGACCCTCGTCGGTCTCGTGGCGGCCAGTCCCTACCACCGTCACCACCATGTGAGACGTGTCAGCAAGCGTGAGGTTCCCCAGGAGCACTCTCACGAGATCTTCCTCAACATTACCCGCGAGTTCCTGAACAAGGAGAACCCCAAAGCCATTGCCGACCCCGTCTTTGGCCTCCTCGGAGACGCAGCCGCCAAGACTGGCGCCGGACAGGTCACCAACTTGGCTTGCCTGCAGCAGGAGACTGCCGACCAGGCTTTCACCAACGCTAAGGCCGCCAAGGATATCCGCGGCATGTCTGCTGCTCTCGTCTACCAGACTCTTGAGCGCAACACCGCGGGCGTTGGTGTGAACAGCGCGGCTTGCACCGACAAGCCTGTCAACGCTGAGATCGCCGCCCTCTCCAAGAAGCACCAGGACCCCGCAGCCGATGGCGCTGCAGCCAACAACAAGGAGGTTGCTCTCGCGCTAGCCAAGCAGTTGGCCGCAGTCGGCGGTGATCCCATGCTGGCTCTCGAGAGCGGCACCTTCGCTCCTGGTGACAAGTCCGACACTACCTTCAAGGGTCTCAGCTGCGACACTGACACCGACCCTACCGGATGCATCTTCACTGAGAAGAAGCTTGTCCTTGATGCGACTCCCGACGAGATCACCGCCGCTGCTAAGGGTGTCACTCAGACCGTCACCGGCGGCACTGGTGAGCTGAAGGCAACTCACATCGACATCACTGGCCTCGCCGTTGCCGGCCAGGCCGGAGCTGCTAAGGGAGGACAGACTTCAAGCACTCCTGCCAAGGCTAAGAATAGTGCCACGCCTTCCAGCGGCAACACAAACTCCAACTCTAACACCAACACCAACACCAACACCAACGCCAACGACGCTTCTTGCGATGCGTCCAGCTCTAACAACGGCGCAGCCCAGACCAAGGCCAACAACGGCACTGCTGGCGGAAACAACGGAAACAACTCGAACAACAACGGCAACGCTAACAGCGGCAATGCCAACACTGGCAACGGCAACAACGTTCAGACTTTCACCGGTTCTCTCGGTGGCGCCCCTCCCCCGGTCATCCAGAGCTCCGGCAACCGCCCGTTCTCCGTCAACGGTGACACCTTCGTCGGAAAGGGCGCCGCCCTCGGCCGATCCTGCGACGTTCAGCACAACGCCTGCGCCCGCGCCGTCAACAGTGGACAGCTCGACGGCGAGGTCTCCCAGTGCGACGAGCAGAACACTCAGTGCCGCGCCCAAGCCAACCTCCGCAAGCGCTTCTTCAAGCGCCAGGCCACCGACTTCGGTTCCTGCAGCGACCCTTCCGTCGTCTTCAAGGACGGCTTGCCCGATCGCCAGGCCGCGGCTTTCATCGCAAACAACCAGGGCGACTTCAACCACGGCTCTGCGCAGAAGATTGGTATCATTGCTGGCTTCATCTGCCAGCGCCTTTCTGACAGCTGCAAGGCGCCTGCTGCTACCGTTGAGAGCTGCAACAAGGCTCAAACTGCGGCTGTTGCTGCTACTCAGGATGAGACTGCTGCGAATGTGTTCAACAGCATGCTTATTGGCGGCTCGGCTAGTGGCAACGTCACCGCTCGTGGTGAGCTCAGACTTCACTGATTGGAGTACTTCAGAAGTGCATTCGAATCGTTACTCGATGGTGGGTACATGGAAGGTGTTTAGGCTTGCATTGATTTACGCTTCCGGTGGCAGTTTGGTGGCAACATTGAGATATCCTCCGCACGGGTCAATGTCAGGAGTAGCTTTAGGTGTTTCTTGGAGTCTTGGTGACTTTTCAAATTGAGTCAAAATTTCATGCCTCACATCCTTATTTTAAACATCGAGTGACCTATTCAGCAGTATATTGCTCATGCTAACCAAACCCTTGATAGTTCATGGGTCGCATGCGGTGGTATTCACGACAGGGCAGTAAGGTTTGAGGTTTCTAGGCCCGTTTCGAATTGCTTAACTCATAGGAGCTGGCCATTGGCAAGGATGCAATAAGTTCAAGTATTATTGATAAGTAACCTAGAAGTCTTCTCTCAAGACACCGACTCAAGGCGAGTCGTACTTGAGGTACGCGCCGCTGCCAGTGTCATGCGTCAGGTTCGTCTGCACAACACGACCGTTCTTCAAGCTACCACTCTCAGCAACACCTCCAACAGCCGCGGTACCGTTCAAACGATGCAGCTTGTTCTCGCCAGCCAGCACTGTAAAGTTGGCGAGGGAAATCTCGTATCCCTGCTTGATCCTGGTCGTAGGAATACCAAAGAATGAAGCATTCACAGCATCGTAGTCAATGCTGAGCTCATAGTATCCCCTGTAGAACAGGTCTTGCCACTGCAACTCACGATTCGCAGCCGTAAGCCATGCAGATCCTGCATTCGCCGCCGCCAGCGAAATGTTCTGCCCAGCAGGGCAAGGCGAGCTCACAGCTGAACCCGCAAATTCGACGCCGACGGAACCGGAGCCCGTGTTCGGATCGTACTCGTGCTCACCAAGCCAGACAAGATCCGATACCCACGAAGCGTGCGAGTCGCCCGCGAGGAAGATGTTGTTGCCGACGTTCTGCTCGTACAGGACCTGGAAGGTGCGGTTGCGGTTCGCTTGATAACCGTCCCACTGGTCGTAGTTCATCGGGTTCTCGGCGCCGAGGGCCAGACTCTCGTTCATGCGGCTGAAGATGATTTGGTTGCCAATGACACGCCAGGTCGCACCGCGGGTCGAGCTTTGGCGAAGGGTTTTGTAGAACCAGGCTTCTTGGCGGGGTCCCATGAGGGAGCGGCTTGCGTCGTTGGAAATGGCGTGGATGTAGTCGGTGTTGGTGTAGACATCCGTGATCTAGGGGGTTAGCAAGACTCTGACACTCCTATAGGAGAGGAGTGAAACTTACAGCGCGATCGTACTGGCGAGTATCCAACATCACGAGGTCGAACAAGTTGCCGAAGTTGAACTCTCTCCAGATGCGGAGGTTGTCATCCATATCGACCTGGCGAATAGGCACTAGCAGGGCGTTAGTATCGATATCATCATCAAAACTGGGTTGAGAGTGTAAGCATACTCCACTCAAAGTACGCGCGAACGGCATTCATCTTGCGCTGGTCGACCGAGACACCGCCATCAGCAATGAAAGAATCCTCAGTGTTGTTAAGCTCTGAGGCACCATCTCGCCACGTGTTGTCCGAAACCTCTGTTTCCCATTAGTCAATGTGGCGCATAACGAAAGACTGCTACCAACCGTGGTCGTCCCAAACCGGGATCCAGGGAAAGCTCTGGTGGCTGGCCACCAAGTCCAGGTCGGTTCTGTAGGTTGCAATGCGCTTGCGGTAGTCATACAAACTGCCAAAAGTCAGCTTGGAATGTTCCCTAGAGAAGTAACACAAGCTACTGACGTGAAGATCTGGCGATCGGGAAGAGGAATTCTTCCGATCGAGTTGCCCCAGCCATACTCGCCATTGCCGTACTCGTAGATGTAGTCTCCAAGATGGATCACGTAGTCAACCGAGTCTTTTCGGACTGGGTTGCCGTACGCGTTGAAGAAACCGAAAGCTTCACCAAGTCAGTTGGAAAGTTCTAAGGACTCTGGAATGGAAAGTTCACGAAGACGTACGGTAGTTGCTGCAAGAGTAGACGGCAAGCTTGATCGGTGTTTCAACTCGGGAGTTCTTTGAAGGAATCGTCTTTGTCCGGCCAATCGGGGACGTCTTATTTGAGTTGCAAATACCAAACTGATAGTCTTCAATGCAAGTCAATTACCCTCCCTGGACGAATTGAACTGTGGTCACTCACAATAGACCGTGAAAGGCGCCAATCGCTTGGCCTCAACCTTGACAGTATAATCCACATCAGAGCTCGTGTAAGCAGTACCCGAGTCAACAACAGCTTCAAAAGTCTTGCTTGTGCTGATTTTCCAATCAACGCAGACCGGAGAGTCACTCTTCTTCACATAGTCTTCCGTGCTGTGGTCATACAGGGGAACGTAGCCGCTGACAGTCAAGTTGCTCTTGTCATTGTCAGCTGTCGGAGCAGCTCGCGTCCACAGGATGACGCTGTCCTCGTACGGATCACCGGAAGCCACGCCATGCGTGAAGTTCAGCTTGGCTGGATCCCAGTGGGAGTTGGCGTAGGTGCGCTTAGCGACCTTATTGATTGAGACACCAAGTGACGCATGGTGCTTCGACGGCGACAGGTAGTTGAGGTTACCTGTGAAAGCAGCCGATGCCCCAGTGGCTAGAGCCAAGACAGCAAAGATTGGCTGAACCATGATGACGGTGGCTATCACGCTCTGGAGGATTGAGACGCGAACGAAGTGACCACAAAGAGTTGACTTATTGGTTGCCAAGAAGGGATCAGCATTAAGCTTTGACGGCGAGAGCTGCCATTTATGAACTTTGGTTTACAAAAATTTCCAGGCGCGAGAATACTAGGATGAGCTTCCGCAGCTTCCATCTCAGGCCGTTTGTTTCTCGCTCTGGATGGACGCTCGCCACGTGCGTTATTCAGACGGCTATGCTCGTGGGTAATCATCTCAACAGTGATTGGACATTGAATCCCTTCACCGGATTTCAAGAATCGTTAGTCTTACTCTCAATGACGACAATCACCAGGGATTATCGCAGAGTAGCATTCGCGAACCCCTCTTCTTATCAATCGTGCATGTGCTGAGATGGGCATAGGTTTACCAGGCTTGCAAGGCACGGAAATAAGTCCTCTTTATGAATGGCATATCTTGAACCGCGGTTCACACGTGCGCCCGGCTCTGGAGGTCATTGGTGGTCTTGGCGCTGTGGGGCCGTCGCTCCGGTTCTTCGGCTCTACATAGCTGGGATCCCGCCTTTGTCAACTCGTGCATAGCAGGGTCGCGTCATCAATGATATATTGCTGAACAGAGATATCCTGTCTTCTCCATGGAAAAACATTGCTGTTTCGGAACACCGCTTTAGCATGACGTACATCCAACAATCTGCTGGCGCATATTGTTTGTTTTCTAAGATAAATGTATCTAGCTCTGCATAGGTACAATACAAGTCCCTTCCCACACTTAATGGAGGCCGAAGTGACATTTACACCCAACAAGTAATGGCACTCAGCTTCGTATACTACACTCTTATGGTGCAATAACAAACATAGTCTAGCGCACATTGTTTCCTCCCATATTCACGCGTCAATCTTTTGGGAGGAAATAGGTACATGTACCTGACATGAAAGACGTAACCCTTCGGGATGCAATGCTCGCGCTGATAAGTGTTCGATGAGAAATGAGACTCTCAAAGGACGTTGTTTTGGTAAGACTTGTACACAGTGAGGTGCCCAGCTTATGAAGTATGTTGGGCAATCACTTCGCTATGTAGACCAAGTAGATCGCTACCAATTATATGTCTTGCTTGAATGCGAACAATCATAATAAACAAATTATTGATTCGTGCACACAAAATCACCTCGTGCGATCTGGCCGATTGGACAGCTCTGCCCAGGTCCGGACTCATCAATTATCCACGACCATGCGTGAGCTCTGATATGGCTGGTCTCATCCCGAGCAGCCCTGCTTTCCGTGCGGAACAAGCAGAGGGTAAGACTAAGTAAGAGTGAGCATTCTCCATTTCATGCGTGTGAATCCATACGTGACAACAGACTCCCAGAAGAATACATACATATAAAATGAGGAAACATGGCTCGCAAAAAACGTCTTACTGAAGTACCAGGCTTTGAAAACAGAGTCTATGCCCATGAACAATCGAGCTAGCCGTAATGCACTGTAGTAGACCTGGAAGATGTAGTTCTGAAAAAGAATATTGAACTTGCAGTGGTATTGTTTCCAAGGTTTCAGGAACACTAACTAGTCCCTTGTCAAGAAGATTGAAGTGAAAATTTGTCCGTGCAGAAGCTACAACAGGGGTTTGATTCGAACACACCATCCGCGAAAAGCTTATACCTAGTAACGAATAAGGGGTCTTCGAAAGTTCAAGACGGCTCAAAGTCTTGAATTGGGCTATCATGACTCAACAATTCCATGCCCTCATGGAATTCTTCGTAGAACAAAACGACTACCTCAGTCGATTAGACTTCGGATGGAAATACATAGGAAAGACCACTAATGGAAGGAAGACGACGGGAGGTATTGTAAATGCGATAGCAAGGCTCCTATTAGCAGGTAACATAAAGGGCAATACCACAGGAGCTAATGAAGTTACAGACATATAGATGATGAGGCGTAGAAAGGTTTTCGATTGGTACAGATGACCAATGACTGGGTCATGAAGCTGCCCGGCAGCCTTTTCTGAGGCTGATAGGAGCCCACGATCGTTCTGAAGTACGTCTGATAGTTTTGCTGCTGCTGTCATTGCTGCTTGACGCGGATGAATCGTAGAGCTTCCGACGGAGACTATCGCTGAAGATGGAGGAATTTGGGGTACTCTTTGTTCTTGAATACTAAAGTCAGTACATACTTTAGTCTGTGACAAAACTCTGGCCTTGTTCTCAGTACGTCAGGTCTCACGCTTACCGAAGTACAACTGGAGAGCCACGAAAACAGGTTGAGAAAGAAGAAGAACAGGGAGCAGTTGACCAAAGCCCATTTCTCGCTCAGCTGACCGTATTTCCTTCCCAACTTGACTCTTACTGGAGAAAAGCTGGTAGGTATCCCATGCCAAAGTAAATGCGAGTAGGAACAAAGTGAGCATGAAAGATTCCAAAAGCTCCAGCCAAGCAACTGAAACAATATAGATACTGATAATCGCCTTATACAAGGCTCGTTTACGCCAGCCTGGCGGTTTCTGTAGTGTGCGCTTCGCGGCCATCTCGAGAAAGTACTCCAATTGGGATCTTCCCCAAAATTGTACCCAATCCCGACTACTGTCGAAAAATTGACACAGTTTCCAGGCGAAGGCGCCAATCAAGGAGACATACGAAACCCAGGAATCACTGTGTTTCTTTGAGCCATAAGTTCGCGTATCCCAAAAACAACGAACAGGTAGACCTGGTTGCATGAATCGCCAGTCAAAATATTCATGGCGCAAATTTCCGGGCCATTTCGATGAGACGGTCGGAACCAGGGCCACGAGAAGGAGTCCTAGAATCAAGATTATGGCGGATACTCGAATAGATCGTAGTGCCCTGCTGGCCCGTAGTCTATCTCGAAGTACTGATAATGACATGAGATGGACTGTTGAGCTAAGCCACGCCAAATATATAACGGCGTTCCAGTGATAGGCGCTAAGATTGGCCCCCAATGCTTGAGTATAACCGGCTATGAGGATGGTGAGACCGGTCAGAAGCTGTTGATCGCTGAGCATCAGGACTAGCTCCACGAACATTTTCCTCCATCTATCTTCCGACTGTTCTGGGCGAGCGAAAAAGAGCCTTCGGTCAATATTACGAGCCAGACCCTTCGGCAAGGCTCCAAACCAGTAAGCCCATGCAACGAGAGCAAAAACCAAATAGGCGGACACCACAAAGGCCGTGAGCACCTGTAGGCTATGTAAGTAAGGTCTCTGATATCATGTGAGGCTATCGGACTTACCCCATTCCCAGAGATGTCTGGGTTCGGGTAAACGGTCACCTCACAATCTAAATAACGTGTACAATTGTCCACAAAAGCCTCAACTTGGCTGACTAGAACATTAGGAGAATAGCCTAGCTTGGGACCATCGTTTCCACTCCAGTCAGTGAAGGTTTCGGTGGTGGTCCTCGTCACTGCTGCAGCCGCTGCAGTTCCGAATGTGCAAAATGTTATCGTCGTCGTCTCCTGGCTGATGAGCGTGGGTATCGCATTGGAAGTAGTAGACATTCTTTGTAGACGATAACTCTTGGCTGGTGAATTTTGAACCTGGTGAGTTTTGAAATCCTCATGAGAGAAGCACGCGGATGAGAGGGAAAACTCGGCTTGCTCGACCTTATGTGAAGTCTGCGGCGAACGTTTGTTAATCAGGCTGTTTGGCAGAAAGGCTTCGGGTGGTAGCCTAGACTGACGTAATCGAGCGAAGTGACGGGAGAAGTCTCATCTGATAGGCCTGATTAAGCCCCTAGTTTCCACCGCTATTGTGCAAGAGTACATTGCATTTTGTGCTTGTGGCACATCCCATGCCTCGGGTTGGGGTCTTGAGGGACAAGGAACCTTCGGTGCAGCCTTTCCCGCCCCCTTTCCTCTCCAGCCGTACTTGGCGTTGAAGATATCTATCATTCGTAGGCGACAAAACCTGCGGAAGAATGGAGACCAGCTAAGATTCACGCTGTACCTTTTCTAGGCTGCGGACTTGCTTCTGAGGTAGCTTATCATACACTGTTTGAGGTGATCAGTATTTCTCAGTACCATCCAACCAGGAGACCACCTGGGAAAATGCAAAATACCTATGTAAGTTGGGGTCAGTTCACAGTATGACTGAGCGTCAATCCTAAACGATGTGAGCGGGGTAGAACGAAGTCGGAGGATCTATTATTAGGAGCTGGGCAGTTCTAGGTCATCACTGCTGGGACCTGACTTGCTGACTGCATGAAATCCCTCCGTCGTTAGCCAGACACCTGACTAAAAAGTATCTATGCCCAGACAGATATGATTCCGGTTATCACAATCACCCCAGCCACGATCCACCCAAACGTAGGAATTTTGGCCTGAACCAAACCTCCTGAACGCAAATCAATGCGATCTTGTGCGGAGCAAACTACATGGTATTGCCCGCTTGCCTTCTTCTCAAGCTTATCGAAAGGCTCACATGAAAAAGAGCCTTCCGCATAGATTTGAAGGTATTCCGTCCGGTTGGCGAGCGCCTCTTTGCTGAGTTTGTTTCGAAACTCAAAGTAGGAATCGCTTCAACATATCATTAGTATTTTTCGTCCCACATCATCATCGAAGACACGAAAGAGCTTACAAAAACTGTTTAGACAAATTCCCCCTTAGGTAACTTTCTCCCATATTTGGCCGGGGCCAGTACCACGACCGTATCATCTCACCCTTTTCGGACACTCGATACTCTGTTGATAAATTCAAGTTGAGGTTGTATCCGATGTCGAGGCTGAAGTCTTCCCACTGCTCTGCCTGTGGTGGAACCGAAAGCCACACTAAGTCCCGTTCGTTCCTGATTGTGAGATTGCCCAGATGGTCGAAAGGTAAATCGAGATGCTGATAAAAATTGCCGCCGAAGCTACTAAAGCTACCCACACTCAACGTCTTGAGGTTTACTAGCCGCTCAATGCCGTTAAGGCTGTATGTTGTTTGAATACTGCCAATTGTTTGTTCAAAGATACCAGATCCGCCCAGCACCAGCGTGAGATTGTTTGGCTTTCCGGATGTGCTATAGGCGAATTTCACCTTGCCAATCTTCGCGGCGCCAATCTGAAGGCGCTTGACTTTGCCTGAGTTGTAGATGGAAACGTCGTCCACTCCGAGTTGAGGTTCCTTGAAGAATGCGTCGAGAGACTCGAGACCGCCTAACCCGAGCTCCATGGATCTACCATCAATTGAACCGTCGCGATTCGTGATACCGGTGATATTTCGAAAGGCGCTCAATTTCAAATTCGTCAATTTGGGTGCATACATGAGTCGCATATATCCCACTGACTCTAATCGGTCGACGTCGAGATACTTCAAGCTTTCCAGGCCGTGAAGCACGAAGTTTTCGCCGACCGATTGCAGTTCTGGAAAGCTGAGGCCTGAGATCCATCCGTCGTATGCTAATATCATCGAACCGTTGACTCTTGTGATGGTACTGGAAGAGATGCTTGTGATACTGTGGTTGTATCCAATGCACTGCGCTGAAACTTGTGGGCATTGAGAGTCGTTCACAAGGTCGCCATGAATAACCTTGACTCCCTCGAGGGCAATCTCCTGAGCGGATGCTCCAGTGATGACAGTAACATTTCCAAAGATCTCGGGACAGTTCCGCAATGCATCTGCATCCGCTTGTGACGTGATCACCACGGAACCACACTCCTGGCCGATGACTTCTGTTGGTTCAAAGGGTCGTTAGTCAAATCACGGGCAGGCCTTATTTCATGTCTTCTTACGATGCTGCCCAACAATGAGGGCCAATAAGAACCCATTTCTCCAAGGCGACGACCCAAACATGTTGCAAAGACCGAACTACAATCAGTCGCAAGCATACCTATTGGAGAGCGGGCGCTGACTTCCTTAAGGACGACCAAATCCCCCCGTTATATCCCAAGCTCCACTGAATTAGCTACCTACATTGGGGTACATGCCCGTTCACCAGGAGGTAGGGCTGGCAAAATAAGCTTCAGCCTGATGGTTAACGCATAAACTGCTGCCTACCAAACCAACCGTCGGGATACTGGCTACGATAGAAGGCTTGATCACAATTTCCTCACGAAGACCGGGCGCCTGCCCCTGGTCGATTTGGTGGACAAAATTACAAGCATCCCGAAGAGCTGAAATCGCAGGGTCTTAATGCAGGGTCAAATCGTCTGACCTGCCTATTAGGTAGTAGGTTCGTAGCTGCCAAGTCCGCCCTACCCGAGGAGGAATCTTGACCGAAGCCAACGGCCTCATCTGGGATTTCTCATCCGAACTTGAACCAAATAACACAAAATTCAGAAATCCACGACTTGTGCAACAACGCGTCTTGATTGCGTGTCAAGTACGCGAACTATAGAGGCCAACTTCGACATCAATTGAATTTTGCGTTTGCAAATCACGTCCACGGCAGTCACAGAAAGTTTTGTAGAACTTGGTTGAGCGCCGAAACAGCACCCAGCATTCTCATTCCAATTCTGCCGCGGTCACCACCTGCCTTCCAGAGCACTGGTAGTTGATTGATTATGGAAGCCATGAAGTTGCAAGAGAGTTAGAATGTCATAAGCAGCATCAAGTGGCGGATTGCAATGAATTGTTTAAGAAGACTTCGTGCTATGACAGACGTGATCCCCTAAGGTATGTTGTCTTTTGTGAACTCAACCGCAACTTCGTAGGACACAGCACGAGTTTCGAAAGACTGTGCGGCGACTGAAATTGAGGGCACTTCGTGTGTTCTTGTTTCATCTTAAGACAGAAATTTGAGGCCAAAGCATTCAAGCAAGCCTTTGGGCCACAGAGACAACCAGACGATGAACTTACCTACTAACAGAAAGCTCGGTTTTTGGGAGATTCAGGACGATTCTTCTCAAACAGTCAGACTGTTTGCAGAGCTGGGAGGCAGCACCAATTACCATCACTCACAGATGGGTACTAATGCTGGCTATGTGTAGGTTTCTCCGTAGTCTCCGGATCCGGGTTGGTGGTAAGAGGCTTATACCTCCACGATCTAGGCAGAGACTAAGTCGCTCTCCGGACACTTTTCAGTAGCTTACAATGCCGATTTTCATCTTGGCACTCGTGGTAAGGATCTTCTTCTCCGGTGTTCCTCACCCGCTGGGCGCACTCACGACTCAAGAACTCCGTCGGACTTTGAGTTTATTCCCCGTCGTGGTACAAAACTACCGACGACATGGTCTCTCCTAACACGATTTATCTTGGCAAGTATGCGACTTCTGGAGAAGCCTATCATTCTTGCTACAATTTCCAAAGATAGAGGGAGGCTCAGATGAGTGCCAAGTCGAGGTTAATCAATCTGAACTTTACGGAGTGTCTTGCTGACGAACGCTTCCCTCACCACTGGGCTTAAAGGACTGACGATATTCCAGTTCAAGTAGATCGAATGAAATCACGTTAGATCTTGTTCCCTAATACCTGTGTTCTCTTCATACTACCACTACCGTCAACATTTTCCTCCAATTATCAACGACCATGAAACAACCAGTGTACATCCTGTTCTTGCTCCTAACATTTGTCGTCTCCTCCGCGGGGACGATCGCACTCACCTTTGCACCATGTTACGCAACATTTTGCTCCGAGGACTACTTTGAATTCGAGACTAGATTACACCTTTTAGTCTACTTCGGCTTAGTCGCCGGCTTCGGCTGCTTTCTCCTCCTTCGATCTTATACCACGTGGGTTCATGCCCTAAGTAGTTACCATGTCATGCGCATACCTTTGGGAGGTAAACGTGTCACTTTTGGTGGTCTTTTGGCAAGTATCTGGATAGTCGCGGTGGTTGCCTCCACGACTCTGTTCTGGCTGCCAGCTCAACGGGACTTCTGGGGTTTCAGAGCAGACCCCTTGGGATGGGCGAGTGCTAAGCTTAGACTCACGATCACGGGGGTGACTGGTCACTATGCCGATATCCTGCTCGGACTATTGGTGATCCCAGTTTCTAGGAACAGTCTACTTGGAAGGGGGTTCTCGTTGCATCACAGCACACTATTATATGCGCACAAGATCATTGCCTATCTCTTTTCGGTATCAGCAACCGCTCATGGAGTTACATACCTTGTAAGTCTTTGGTTCAGTCCCGGCACCTTGTGCGATTTCTAACAGGTAGTAGCTGTATGCAACAGATTCCAGCAGCGACGGCGATGAGGCAAAGGAGGAAGCATTCGCCACAGGCAATCCGGCAATGACTCTGTCGGAGAGCAAGCAAAGAAGCGAATGGTTCACCATGACCACATACACCGGTATAGCTGCCATCTTGCCCGTGTGGTTGATCATCGTCACCTCGCTTCCATGGATTCGGAGAACCCACTACAACTTCTTTTACTACACCCATGTCATATTCGGTCTGATCATTTTCGTCGCGGCATGCATCCATGCCAGTACCGACTTCTATCTCCTTCTTCCGGGACTCTACCTCTGGGTCGCCGACTGGACATGTAGACTCTTTGGCGGACAGGCAGGCGGTCTCGCCTCGAAGACCGGTGCGACTCTGGAAAATGCAGGCAACAATTGGCTCAGGATATTCA